CAAATGAATGTGCAGCAGTCCAAAATTTCTCTTCGCACAGGCGTTGCTTCAAGAACTCGCAGTGACGAGCGTCGCTTTGCGACGCTCGCTATAACTTGTCCTTTGTGAACTTCTTCCTCATTACAATAAGTGAATTTCTAATAAATAAAATTTCTAGGACGTTTACACAACTTTATAAAATGAGCTCTAAATTTTCTAAAGTACGAGAGTACTATTAAATAACAAGATGTGTTTGTGAAATACTATGCTTCAATACTATACTTCAAAAGTAATTGCAAAAGTTTTAAAAAGCTATTTTTAGCATATAGGTCACAATCGAGATCACAAGGTCATTGACCTTTGTGTACTTTGAAAGAGTACGCATTCCAAATATGAAGTGTATATCTCCCATATCTCCTATGTTTCAAAAGTAATACTAATGGCGAACGTTCAAAAAAGCTATTTTTTGTGCTATTTTTAGCATATACGTCAAAGTCAAGGTCACAAGGTCATTGACCTAAGTGTCTTTTGAAAGAGCTTAACTAGGAGAGTATACATCATAACTAAATAGGAAGTCTCTATTGCTCGTGGCTTAAAAGTTGTGTCGAAGGTTAAAGTTGACAACAGAGAGACAAACAGACAGACAGGACAAAAACAAGCCCCAAATCTATCGATCCAATAGAAAATAGAAGAAAGAGTATTAAGCTTGAAATTTGGTTTTGTTTTTGTTTCAAGCCTGATGTTTTAATGTCGTCCCTTTTGCACCAAACAGAACTGCTTGTTCACCAAAAAAGTGTTACAATACTACGGGTAACACGAATCACCGGAATGCCCCGTAATCACCGAAATGCCCTTACAAATCACCGAAATGCCCATCAAAATCACCGAAATGCCCATACATATGTTTTTATATGATGTTTTTCATAAAAATGAATTCTTACTTTTTTCATTTAAGCATAACTGACCGTAAAATTAATTATTTTCAGGTTTTGTGATCGAAGCGTATCGTACTTCAAAGGGCGATAACTCGTATTTGATGATAATCTTCTAGATCTACGTAGCCTAAAAAATAATGATATTTCTCAGAAAAATGATGACAACTGATTGTGACCCGTCACTGTTATTTTTTCATGACCTAATGAATTTAATGTTAAAATATGGTTACTATAGGTTCCTAGTCTTAATATTTATAGTCAAGTCCACATGCTATTATTACAGTTACTTATATCATACGTACACTGTTTTTTTTTTTAATCAGTTGAAGTTTTGTGGAATTTTAATTTGCTTAAGTTTTTTTTTTTATTAAATGCTTGTGTCATTTAGTTTTATTTTTCTTCCTTTTAATTGGCTTTTTGTGAACCAGGTTGGACCATTTATTATTATACGCTTGCCGACGCCTGTCTGGGGAAATAGGTCTGGCGGTAAAATCTAAATACCTGTCCGACATTATTTATAGAGTAAATTTATCTTTTATTAAATATGTCTACTTTTAAGGACTGTAAAGTTAATGTTTTACCAAACAAAATGAGAGAGAGAGAGAGAGAGAGAGAGAGAGAGAGAGAGAGAGAGAGAGAGAGAGAGAAGGAACCGGTAGACCAACTCCTGTGATAATTTACGATCGATATGAAAGATTTTCAAAAGACAAATGCAATCACAAAAGGGAGAAAAAAAAAATAAACATTGTACTTCGTTAAGCCATGAAAATGTTCTCATTGTTTTAAATAATTATTTATTTTAATTTGTTTTTTGCAATTGATTTAATATAGATTGCATTGTCAGTCAGGTCAATTACGGAACGTTTCTCGTGTATATTGGCAAATATTTCGGAAGTAGCAAGTGCTTGATAAATCATGTATAAATGTGTGTATTCAACCTATTCAACAACTGTAAAAAAAAAAAAATTAAGGTAAATTGTCAACTTTTACTATTTCATTTTCTATTGAATCAGATGTAGTAAACTGTTCATTAGCAATAGATACCCTTTCCTGTGTTTGTATAGCGCACGTGCGTAACTTCGGTCACTAATTATCATGTACCTGATTATGTAACATGACATAAGAATACTATACACACCTGTCACTAGATCAATAATTTAATCACTATGTATACACAGTAAACATATTATTTCAGATGTCCAATTGTTTCAAACCAATTGAACATTTAACACAATAAAATCAAATTAATTTTGTCTTTATTCTTTTTATCACAGATAATAAAATATGAAACTTTCAAAAAAGTTTTTTATCTTTTATACACAAAAATGAAATAAATTTATAATTTTTATTGATTTTATTAAATTACTTTAAATATTGCAGTTCTTTTCTGTGCTGAAATGAAGAAGTGTATAATGAATTATTTTCCTCAAAAATAGTGTGAACTTAATTTAATGTCATTAATTTACGAATTGGATCGAGCAAAACTGTAATTCATACATATAATATCTATAATACACGTCTAACAACCATTCCCTTCGATCCTTGTGAATTATACAATGTACCAGGAACATATATAAGTCCCTGATTATACCCAGTATATAATCTTATAGTTCAGTGAATAAAAAATAAATTTTGATTAAAGTCATACATGGCATAATATATTGTTGTTTATATACTAAACGTAAAGTCTTTCTATTTTGATTATACATGTAACTTAATTGTTCATTTAAGATTTTCCAGTAAAATTACACGTGTCCTCCTTTTTTAGAAATCAAGAAAATACATCAATAATATTACAAACAAAAATTTTATAAGAAAGAATAACTTATTTATTAGGAATATATATAAATATATACATTTGTGGTATCTCTCCATTATATAAACATGCAGAGAGAAAATATCTTCAATTCTGTATGAAGTTTGTCGGAGGTCAGAGGTCAATACGTGACCTAATCACAAGGCGCAATAATATCTACCGGTACATAAATTATAAAATGACCTGCTATACTTGCTTTTCATGTATAAAAATGAACAAAATAAGCAAGTAAAATGATAATTATTTTATTTACAATGTAAACAAGTATTTCATACAGTTTGTTGGCTATCAATTCAACCTGTGTATACCTGTATACATAGAGAAAACTAGCATTTGTTTACATTTTTTTTTCACTTTTGTCAGCTGCACAGTCTCTAACGTTTATCCTTATTTTTGGGGTAGACCTTTCGTTAAATTTTCATGATAAACTATTATTTCATTTTTAAATTCTACTCACGATAAATGTGTAAATCTGTTGGAAATTATCATTGCAATCATACCATGAACAGCTGCCAAACACCTCGGCGTTTTCGTAGTTCAGTGTAAAGCTGTCGCCAGTTTCTCCGTGTTTATCAGTGTTTTAGGATAAGTATGCCTTTAGTTACTGAAATCGTAGAATGTTTTTGATCAAATTGCAAATTAACTGGCTCGGACAAGTGTCTCAATCCATCGGATCCATCCATCCCTTTCCGGCGACCGAAATTCCTCCAACTTTTTATCATCACACTTCGGACGTGTTTCTTGTGTCTTCAGCATCGATTATCATTTTTCACATAAAACTATTCCCAGACAACAGTCTGTTCACTATTACTGATCACAGGTAGCCTTTCACAAATTATTCCCTTCGAAATACGAAGCATAACCGCCATGCAAGCCGATTTACACCTTGCGTCATTTTTCAAAATGTACGACGGACGGTTAGTGCTATAATTAAATTCGAAATATTCAATTGTCTGTCTCAAATGTATATATAAGTAATAAATAACAAGTTTATAAACTTCAATGGGAATTGAAGTGGGTCGGTACGTGATCAAATCTTCTGAGAAGGCCTTTGGCCTTCACAGGATTTGATCATGTGACCGACCCACTTCAATTCCCATTGAAGTTTATAAACTTGTTATTTATTTCTTAAATGAAAATGGGAAAAATTAAAAATAAAACTATTTTGGCACGTGTCTTAAATCAGTGAGAGTTATCTTTCTTTGATACATGCACATATCTTCAAATAAAAATGCTTACGCTAAAATTATGAAATTTTTATTTGGTATCTAGGCTTTAGAATAGTTAATTTTATCAATATTTAATATTTTTTTGTTTATTAACAATATAAGGGGCTTTTCGGTGGCATTTCGGTGATTTCTCGGGGCATTTCGGTGATTACAGGGCATTCCGGTGATTCGTAGTACCGCAATACTACATGTATAACCAACAGCTTTGAGAACACATCCTGAAATTTACTATTTAGATGATCTTTTTTAATTTAGTAAATATTTTTAAAAAGTCCTGAATATTTACAGAAGCACATAGTCTGATCCTCTGTCAATGAATACCCTTCACAAGATGGACATTAAGGGTGTGGTATTAGATGTGACAGTAAAGATAAATACATTCTTATTGCTATATTTCCAGATCCCTATTTTTCTAGGCCTCTGAAAACAGCTGACAAACAGCTGGGGTTGTACCCCGGTTACCTGCGGCATCTGACGATTCCCCAGACGACGGCCCGTTCTCACGATTCGACCCAATACATCCTCCCATTTCAAACAGGAGGGGTATTGAGTTTAAGCTGTTATTGACCCTCGCTTAACTTGAAGTACCTCGGTTTATTTTCTCAATTTTTGACGTTCTGTGTACTGTCACAAATATATTGATGTACCGGTGATCGATGATGGTGTGATTTGATTGGCTAGTATTCATAAAAAATAAAAGAATGATGATTGTTAGATATTCGAGTTTAATATGTTTAAAATATAATAGTCTTCCAATTAATGGACATTACAATCGATGAAATTCATTTATTTTAAAAATATTAAAAAAAAAAAAAACCCCGAAAAAGAAACCCTTCCAGTGAGAAATTGTTTTTCCGGAAAAGAGATCAGAGAAATAGTTGTATAGTCAGTTAATTTCACACGGTACTACCTTAATTTTACATTCCATATATCTAGAGTTATACCTGTATTATATAACAATTACAATAAAAAGTAATAAAACAAATTTTAAATCCGGAATCTGTGTTATTGATCAAGGCATTTTATCGTGTACATTTTAAAGATGGCTGCGCCCATGTGGAAAAACGAAGTTACCAAATATGTCAAACTTTTGGATAATTCTGCTGTAGAAACGTTAAGCAATGGTTTGCAAATTTTGGTTTCTAGCATTATCTTCAGACATAGTCCTAGAAAATTTATTCTTAACAAATAATTCTGCAAAGTTTGCCCTGAAATATTTAAGTTTATTTTTTTTTTGTATAGTTTGAATGAAACTATAGAAAAAACACACCCAATTTTACAGCTTTAAAAAGGTGTAGTCTTTGATGTAAGCGTACAGTTATTCTTGTAATTTTTTTCATAATTATGTTTTCATAATATATTGGTAGCTCGACTGTTCGGACGAGATATAAGATAGATCGATGATCGAGGCATGCAAACTGCGATTTAATCTAATTTAACTGTTTTCTGTTTTAAAGCAATCACTTTGATGACATGGCAAGTGCAAATTGATTAATGTTATCAATAAGAATAAGAAATTTCCGTGGAAGTAATTTTTTCTTTTTTTCATTGATACATCCAAAGAATTATGGGTATTAATTTGGCAATTTCGCAAGCTTCTGGATCCACTCCTCAAAAATTAAAAGACAATGTCACATTTGGCAGAGGAACTTGTACATGTGCAGTAAAATTTAGAATTACATGTACAATACATGTTTATATCAATTTTCTTTTTGAGCTCTAATTAAAAACTTTGTGTAAATTGTAGGCTTGCAAGAAAAATCCATCTCCCTGCTGGAACTTATTGAAAATGTAGGGTGAGTACTTTCTGATATAATGATAGATTTAATTATACTCCACCTTAATTTTCGTTTCAAAGTTTCCTAAATTAGCATTGATACATACTTGTACCTGTATAATTTTATTTGGTCATTTTTTTGTATCTACTGCAAAAGCAGAAAATTTCATTGGGGATTAAAATTCGTTTATTTTGTCGTAAATAATCATCAACAAAATGAAATCCTACATGAAATTTTCATATTACTTTATATTGAGTAGGGTTACTTAATAGAAGCAATGAAATATAATGCCCATGAAACCATTTAAGATAACAAATCAACGAAATTTGATCCCCTCGAAAATTTGTGTTGATACAGTATTTATAGTTGACAAATCTGTGTCTTCCCTAGGGAGTACTTGACCAATGAGGATCACCAGATAAGGGGGCATGTCATCAAACTCTTGTGTGATGTTATCTCCATCATCCCAAACACACTGCTGTCTCCAATGGAAGGTGACACTTTTTTTGTCTTTGTATTGTGTATTATATATTACCGGGTATTGTTAAAAAAACATTGAAATTTAAAATAAAAAAATAAAAATAATTTTATTTAAAACATCTCAACTGAATGATACAGAATATAAGCATTAGTATAAATAGACTTTACAGCTATTGTAAAGATATCCATAGCAATCCTGTAAAACTGATTGAAATAAAAAGAAGATCATGTAGATACATATTTTCAAAAGTTACATCACAATGCTCAGAATTTTCTTAATTTGTTATTTTCAGTAAAGTCGTTGGTGACGTATTTCTGTGAGAGACTTCAGGATCATCACTCCATACAACCCCAAGCGCTGAGAGGACTACTGACATTGGTAAGTATATAAGTAAAACAGACAATGATATATTATCTATTTCAGGAACAAGGTATGGTTTTTAGCTCACCTCCAAAAAGGTTGACAGCAAAATCATGTCAGTGTCAAATGATAAAAAAATCTGTCAAGGTAGGGTTCAACAAAAGGAGTTCATGAAATTAATTCATATTAACTCTTTCAACACTGAGTAACTTTTATCAAGCAACCCCAGTACACTGAGTAACTTAAGCCATCATTAGAAAATTCATCTACCGTCAGTAAAAATACAATAACTTCTTTATTAATTAAAATATTTTAATAAAAGACACATCATTAGAAAGGTAAGACATTTTTCTTTCAGATGGTATAAAATTTAAATGCATTTAGAATTATTTTACAAGACAAAAGCGCTGATACAAAATAATATTTTGTATTTTAAATGATCTTATGTAATATTTTGATAAATTTGCTGCTATGAAATTTCAAAATCACATATGTTCTTACCATCGTTTAAAAGAGAAATTATTCCCGATTAGAATGATATGCAATATGTCTTTATTCATTGAAAAAATAAGTCCAAAAAATAAATAAATAAAAACGTGGTGTTTTTGTATATTGAGAGATCTCCGGAGCATCGTAAACATGGTCCGTCTTGGAGCCTTCATAGTCCAATTCCAAGTCAAGTTTCTCCGACTACCTTTCACAACAATGTTTATTATGATTATCTTTAATGTCTATGAACGTTTATAATGTCCAAGTCCCCGTTTTTATTTGAGATTTCGTCGCCGGAAACATCGTACTTTTCGATGTTTACCGCCATTTTGCTAGTTTCTTTGTTTCTTTAAGAATTCGTCTAATTTTCCTTTTTTATGTTCCCCAAACGGAGTTTGGGAACATATTGTTTTTACTCGGTTTCTTATTATTATTATTATTTTTTTTCTTATTTGTTCTCCGGTACTTTTTTGTCCGCGAGTGTTCTCAGAAACTGTTCACCCAACTGAGCTAAAACCTTCTTAGGGTTAATAGGTGTGTAGTGTAGGTGTGCGGAACGAAGGTCATTTTGCGCGCATACGCCTGCACGTGCGTGCACGTGAAATGAGTGAATTGACTGATATACTTGATATACCTATAACTTTTACATTTTTTGATGAAATGCTTTGAAACTCATTACATAAATATATATTTATAGTGTTAATAATATGACACCGTCAAATTAGCACG